GTGTGTGTGTGTGTGTGTGTGTGTGTGTGTGTGTGTGTGTGTGTGTGCGTGCAGGGCTGCTCAATAGACACATGGCTATCCTCTTTCTACAAAGCCGTTTTCTGCAGACTATATTGTCTTACTTATTGCGCGGAAAGTTTCATACTCTTGGGACCATGAATATTCGTAATAAAACTTCATGGAAGTACCCCTAATCGGAGTTGCCTGTTCAACATGAAAATTCAACTGTTTATTCCTTTTTTTTATTTGACTGTCTGGCAATCAGAAAAATCCATCCAGAGTTTCAGTGATGATTTTGACCATTTTAACAGTAAAATGCGGCCCCACTACAGTTTCATATGAATCAAAAAAATATGTTTACATTCATATCTATACAACCAATGTGTTTATGATGAAATTGTTTTCAAGTGCTTATGATGATAATCAATTATGACTCTCAAAACTATTTATTCACCTGGACACATGTATACTCAGGCACCATAACACTCCTGACACTACTGTTCACAAAGAAATAGTTCCAGTGTACGGTTTCAAATATCTGTAAAACACCGAAACGTATAGACCGGTTTTCAACAAAGTTAAAATACTAACTGTCCATGGCCCTGGATCCATCTGCAGGCCAAACTTCCCCTTGAGACCCTTATCTCTTTAGATGATTTTAGAATGCGTCCTTGTTAAAACTGTATGATGTTATGTATTTTATCATATAAAATGCTGCTGCTGTGATTTGATGTCCCGTCATGTGTTGGATGCTGCTATTTGACCCTTTCTTGGCTCGGTCTCACTTGTAAAAGAGGTTTTCATCTCAATTCGACTTCCTAGTTATAAAAAAAAAATATATATATATATATACATACACTATATATATTTTTTTTTATGGCGTGGCTGTCTGTGTATGATTGATGCAGGCTTTATTACCGTATGAGGAATTGAACTTTTCTTACCCAGTTTCACCCTGCAACACCTTCCAACATAAACACTCTCTCTATCACACACACACACACACACACACACACACACACACACACACACACAC